GGATGTGCAGGTTAGGTGGATTGGCCATGCTAAATTGTCCCATAGTGCCTAGGGATGTGCAGGTTAGGGTGGATTGGCCATGGGAAATAAGGGGTTATAGGGATAGGGTAAGGGGGGTGTAAGTCTGGGTGGGATACTCTTTGGAGGGTCAGTATAGACTCAATGGGTCAAATGGCCTGCTTCCACACTGTTGGAATCTATGATTCCATGATGCTCAGGACTGAAAGAGGCAGATATTTGGATTCTTTGGATCGGAGATGGGAAGGTGAATTTGAGGTAGAGGATCAGCTGTGACCTTATTGAAATGTGGAACAGGCTCTAGGGGCCAAATGGCCTCCTCCTGCTCCTATTTCTGACAAATACTTTCTGATTTTGTTTTGTCACTGAGCAGCACAATTTGAATCTCATTCCAGACTTATGGCAGCAAGAAGCTGCAGCAGATTGGGGTCATTCTCCAGAGAGGTATCCTTATTCTCCTCATCTTCTGCTGCCCTTGCTGGGCTCTCTTCATCAACACGGAAAAAATCCTTTTGGCGACCAAACAGCACCCAGAGGTGGCCAGGTCAGGTGCCTTTCTCAGTCCTAAAATGAGACTTATTGCTGAAGATGTTTCTGTTTAAAGAATGAAACAATGATTGCATTACTTTGAGGGTCACTGGGGAGCTTCCACTATTCTTTAGATGGCGGCCATTGTCTCTGGATGGTGTCCTTCATACTTTGTGGTGAGTTAATGTGAGGAAAGGGAAAGGAACACGTACTATACATAGTGCCCCACAGCTCGAAGAGCTGAATGGCCTAGTCCCACTCCTATTTTCATATTTCATGACCTCAGCATGTAACGAAGATCATCACAGGTAGGTTAATAATTTTTGATTCATTTCAATTATATGCTGTGTGCCTGCATTGCTCAGTGTTTTCTGGTCCCTACCTTGTGCTGCTTCATCAAATGTTCCTCAAATGGAGGCCAGCAGCTCAATGTTGGTCACTCTTTGAACTCACTATTTCAATATGCAGCCTCTAGGTAGAGCAGGAGCTCCCACCTTGGCAGTACAGGACTACCATGGTCTGTTACTAACTCAGTTTTTATTGCCCTCTTTGGAAAAATTGAGGGGTGGCAACTTTCACCTAAATGTATCTGTATAGATGGAGCGGTTGGAGGCACAGAGGTAATGTCAGTGGATTAGAAGTCTGGAGATCCAGTTTAAAGCTGGGGGGGGGGGGGGGGGGGGTGGGGGCATGAGTTCAAATCCCACCATAGAGTTGATGGAGTTTGAGTTTAGTTAATAAGATGTGGATTGTAAAGCCACTTTCAGTAATGGTGACCATGAAACTATCATTGATTGTTGTAGAAAAATCTGATTCACTACTGTCCTTTCAGGAAGGAAATCTGCCGTCCTTACCTGGTCTGGCCTACATGTGACTCCATACCCACAGCAATGTGGTTGACTCTTAGAAAAATGGAAAATGGTAGGAAGAGTAGGTCATCCAGCCCTTCAAACTTGCTCAGCCATTCAATATGATCATGGCTTATCATCCAACCCAGTACTCAATTTCTCCCCGTACCTTTTAGCTCTAAGAATTATATTGTTGAAATCAGGGCACTTAACTGCCCTCTGAAATGGCTGAGCAAGTCACTTAATTCAAAGGCAGTTAGGATTGGGCAATAGATGTTGATCTCATGGAAGGAAAAATAAATAAAATGATGAGCTGCCCCAGTCTCAGTGGGTGCCAGCTCACCACTGCAACCACTCGGATGAGGGAAAAGCCTGAGGCCCATTTTCAGATAGGCCTCAGGCTGGTGGGCTTAGAAATGAGGCCGGAAGGAATCTTTCTCCCAGTGACCCTTTCAGAAGGATCTATTAGGGCGCCTCTCCACACTAGTAAGCAGTTTTCATGAAACCTAACGCACAATGACAAAGAATAAGCTGTGTTGTGTTGGGTTTTCAGGCCAAATTAAATGCACCCAGAAAGAACAGAGATTACATTTATCTGCAGTCAAATGATATTGACCTTTGCCCTTTTGATTTTCTGTGAGAGGAAAATAGAGGAAATCCAGGAAATTTCCAGAATGTCCTTGGCAGGAGTTTAGGGAGCATGGTGAGGTTACAATGATCATTAATTTTTTTTATTGGTTTTGACAAGAGTGTTGGCAACTTGAAAATGCCAGGACCCACATGTTTTGTAGTTGAATTCACATACGCCACATTTTCCTGGGCCATTTGTGTGACACTGTTACAAGTTTTCCGCAAGTTCAGGGGTGTCCTGGGAAAGTTAACGCTCAACTGATGTGGAAACTTCTCTTCCAGGTTATGCCAGCTTTATGTGAAGATATTTATCCCTGCTCTTCCTGTGAGTATGAACTCCACCATGCCTGGCTTTGTAGAATTAAAGGGTACATCCTTTTTGTGAGTTATTGTGATAGTAGCTCCTATCATTGGATTCTACAATCAACGAGTGCTGAACGACTTCTGCCTCAGTTTACATCCCTATCTATTGAGTTCAGTTTTGACGTTGGGACAGATGAAGGTGTTGTGCTCAGCGAGATGGATTTTTGCTGATGTCTCATCTCTTCCCCCAGCAGATGTCGCATGGGTTTGTTCAAGCCAGTACACTGTATGGTTTGGCAGGTTGAATGGCATTACTCGTTCTCCAGTTGAGAGCATCAGGAACATTTCAGTAGAAACTGCAGATGCTGGAGAATCTGAGATAACACGGTGTAGAACTGGATGAACACAGCAGGCCAAGCAGCATCATAGGAGCAGAGAGGCT